ATAGATTATTAGGGATTATGTATGTGATCCTTAAAACAGTAAGAAAAATAAAAGGGGGCCGACAGGTGGTGCAGTGGTTGAGGGTGGCAGGCTCACACATGCACATTCGACTGCAGTTCGAGTCCCAGACCTGGTGCCTTGTTTTCTCATTTTCCCTCTTTCACTTTCTTGCTCTCTCACTATGCTCCTCTTCTGGTCAAATTAAAATAAATGAATAAATAAATAAGGTTAAATAAGATAATTCTAAACAAAAATCTTAAAAAAGAAAAAAAAACACAGAAATAAGACCAAACTAAATCAAATTAGCAATTTTAAACCATTTGGTTTGAATAAAATCTTTTGCTTATTCTCCTTAATTTGCTGAAAGGAGTGTTGTTGAGTTAGCCATATTTTATACTCAAAACAACAGCATCATCTGGACGGATGCGAACCGCGGTCGACTATGTGGGAGTCCAGCGACATAGCCATTACGCTAACTGCTGGTGCCCTATTTGTTTTCAATTTTAGTCATTTGTTTGTAAGTTTCTGGGATAAAATACAATATATAATTTTGGAGAACAATTGTTTTTTTGGAGAGATTTTTACTCTAGGGTGCATGTGCTTTCCAGAGAGACAGAGACAGAGAGATAGAAAGTGAGAAATAACCCCCCAGGGTGATAGCGATGCCACAGTCCTTTTTCTTCCATTCTCCTCTTAGGATTGTGGGTATGTACGCACACATGCCCAGTGTGAGTTGTAAGCCATCAGGTCTGGGACGTGAACCATGATCGACTACGTAGGAGTCCAGTGACACAACCATTACACCATCTGTTGGTCCCTTGGAGAACAATTTTACCCAGTTATCTCCTGGAATACTCTAAGAATAAAATAAAAAGACTCTGAAGAGGTCCAGAATATGACACTGTGACATAAAATATTTTGAACAGGGCCAGCAGGCAGCATGGTGGTTGAGGCTGACTGTGGCTCAAGTTCCAAACCTGATGACTGGAAATTCATGCCAGGAGTGTGTGTGTGCATGCTCAGAATCCCAAGAGGAGAATGAAAGAGAAGGGATTCCATCCCCCCTGGACGGCGATGTCTCAATTCTTTCTGTGTGTCTCTCTCTGTGTCTCTGGCAAGTGTATGCATCCAATAGTAAAAACCTCTCTAAAAAAAGAAAAGAAAAATTTTGGAAAAAAAAAAAAAAAAGAATAAAAATTTTGAGCAGAAGGCGTCTGAGTTCCCAAAATCTCTTATCTACCTATAAGCAGAGCCTCCTACAATAACTTCATTATTATAAATCTCCTCCCCGGAAGCAACAAGGGAAGACTGACTCTTAATACCGGAGATGAGAAGTTTCTCCACCAAATCTGGATAGACATTGTTACTAAACCAGTAGATCTCTCCCATTTACTATTCTCCTAGTGGAGACTATTTATTTTATTTATTTTTATTTTTCCATTAAGTACCTGTGGGTGGTTTATACAATGAGATTTATTTAGTTCATGATTCTAGAGATCCAATGTAAGGGGCTGCATCGGGTGAAGGCCTTCTTGCTAGACAGGATCTCTGGGAAGTGCAGAGAGCAAGAGAGAGCAAAGTGCATGTGTCTGTGTCCATGTCCCCTTATAAAGGCCCCAGACCCAGTCACTACTGATGCCTACTATCTCCTAGTAGCCCACCTTTCTTTCTTTTTTAAAAAATCTGTCTTCCTTCCTTCCTTCCTTCCTTCCTTCCTTCCTTCCTTCCTTTCTTTCTTTCTAATTTGACCAGAGAGGGACAGAGTGGGGCAGGGGAGGAGTGAAAAAGCAAGCTGCCAGGTCTGGGACTTGAACCATAGTCGACCATGTGGGAGTCCAGTGCCCTTAACCATCACACCACCTGCTGGCCCTGAGGCCCATTTTTCAATACCAGAGCTAGATCAGCTTTTTGGTCTTTAATCCCATTACAACCAAAGCATAACACACGAATTTGGGGGAAGACATTCAAACCATAGCAGCAGCTTTCTCGCCTTTCCTCATTACGATGGTATATGAGGGCCAGCAGGGGACTTGGTGGTTAAGACTCACAGACCTGACCATGGTTTCAGTCCCAGACTTGTTGGTTTGCTTTTTCATTTTCCCACTCTCTTTCTTGTCTCTCTCTCTGGTCAAATTAAAAAATAATAATAAAATTAAATAATTCTTAAAAAAAAAAAAGATGATAAAAAGATGATATATAAGATACAAATTCCCACCACAGTTTTTAAAGGGTGTTTTTATTTATTTATTTTGAATTGACCAGTGAGAGAAAAAGAGAGAGGGGGGCGGGAAAGTGAGACAGCAAGCCGCCAAGTCCAGGATTCAAATTGCGGTTGGCCATGTGGAAGTCCAGTGCCCTTAAGCACCACGCCACCTGCCAGCCCCTTCCACCACACTTCTGAGTCGCATTTTTCTGCAAATCCCATTATTACATTGATAAAAAAAGATGGGATTAAATTTCCCCCCTCTTTTTAAAAATATTTATTTATTTATTTAACTTTATTTTTTATTATTAATGTTTAATTTGACCAGAAAGAGACAAAGAGGAAGAAAGGGGGAGTGAGGAGCAAACCACCAGGTCCAGGACTCAGACTGCCTGCCATTGGCAATGTGGGAATCCAGCATCTCAACCACCATACCACCTCCCAGCCGAATTTTGTCTTTTTTCTTGCTAATTTCTTTTGCTCATTTGTAGGCCCCTGTGCCCAGAACCTAAGAGGGAAGAGGAAAAATTTTTCCTTCTCAATAATCTCACAGTCTAATATTTGCAATTATTTTTTTGGTAAATGCTGATTTTTTTTTTTTTTTGAGAGGTTTTTGCTATAGGGCGCGTGCACTCGCCAGACAGACTGAGAGAGACAGAGAGACAGAAAGCGAGAAATCACCCCCCAGGGGGGATGGTCACGCCGCAATCCCTTCTCCTCCATTCTCCTCTCGGGATCTTGGGCATGCACGCACACGCGCCCGGCGTGAGTTTTAAGCCACCGGGTCCGGGACACGAACCGCGGTCGACTACGTGGGAGTCCAGCGACATAGCCATTACGCTAACTGCTGGTTCCCAATGCTGAAATATTTTAAATTGCCAGTAGGTAGATGCACTTGCCAGAGAGAGACAAAGAGACACAGAGAGAAAGAAAGCACCCCCCCCAATGGTGTGCAGTCATGCCACAATCCTTTCTCCTCCATTTCTCCACCCTGGCATTAATTAGTTCTACAGGGTTGGCTATTTCCATCGAAACTATCAGGAGTAGGAGTATGCATGCACATGTACCTGGCATGTTTTTCAAGCCACTGGGGCAGAGATTTGAACTACCATCAGCCATGTGGGATCCAACTCCTTTAACCACAAGGCTACTAGGCTGACCCATAAATACTGGGATTTAAATCTCCATATGGTCTTATAAGAGTAAACATTATGTATATACATTTACATCGGCAGCGCTGCATACGGAAACAACAGCAGAAGACACAGCCCTGATGACCCTGCCCACCCTACCAACCCTGGATTGGGAAATGAAACTAGCATTAGACATAACAGATGCATCAGATACCACAAAGGACTTGTAGGAGACCTCCAAATATTTCCACATGAACTCTAACTGGACTGAAATGCAAGTATATCTAGAAGAGTCCGTCTGAAGGCATAAAAGTCTTGAAAGGAGCCCAGGGAACAAGTTTGAGGAGATTCCTGAATGACCTGGGTCAAGGGCCACCAGGCTGAGACAGTATGGTCTCTGCAAGAGAGAAGAGAAAAAGTCTCCTAAACTCGCTTAGCCAAAGTGTTACCGAACTCAAATCAGGTTCGCTCACCCAAGCGCTAAAACCAAGCCATAAGCACATGGTGTGATGAAGGAAAAGTACAGCTTTATTACAAAGCGCAATATTTCAGCTCATGCTGAAAAGACCCGGTCTCCCTGAGATGTTCCCCACATGCGTTATTAAGGACAAAATTAGGGGCCAAGGTCTTAGGCGCATGATCAGTTCAGTGATTGGTTCAAGAGGGTGTGATCATCTCTTGGGTATTTTTGATTGGTGAGGCCTTAGATAATCAAATTTCTCTTCAGGTGTCTAGAGCCATTCAGCCTGGAGTCTTTGAGCTCACAACCAGCAGTTTCCAGCCTAAAAAACATCTTACATGTTGAAATAAAAACCTTATCTTTCCTTTAAGTGAGAGTTTTAGAGGTCAAATGGCCCTCACTTATGGTCCAAGTTGGTCATTATCATAAACAAAAGCCTGAAGACTTCTTGCTCTGGGCCATTAACATATAAATGGACTTAATATTTCAGGAAACCTAGGAAAATACATTAGGGGGTCCTTGCTCGGTTTCAAAAGGACATTCCTTAAAAAACCCACACTTCTTTTGTTGCAATACTTAAGTAGGCTCAGTAGGAAGGAAGGAAGGAGAGAGGAGGACAGGAAGAAAGCTCTGCAAGCAATCTTCTGATGGTAATCTGTCCAGTGGGGGAAGAAAGTAGTGACAGCAGGAGGCTCTTTCTCCAGACAGTTAACATTTCTTCTTACACATTAACAAATGAGCTAACCTGAGTGCGGTGCAAGGTTCAGTTAGTAGAAACCGGTTCTACAGGGTTGCAAACAGTTTCTGGACCAATTTTATGAGGACCAAAGAGCAGGTACTCAGGGACTGGATGTGAAGAAGGAGCAGCGAGCACTCCAGAAGACTATGCCTCTCCAAGATCCTCCACCCCACAGCATTACCCTCAGCCAGTTATGCAACTTCCGAAGGTTTCCCAGCTCCAAATCCTTGCATTCAACAGTATTTACCAAGTGTCCACAAAGCTCCAAATGCTGAAATGTGTGGGGCTGTGAAACAGACACACACAGGTTCTGCATGGTGAAGACTGGGGTACACGCATTGTAGACATGGTGGGTCAAAGCTATGGTACAGGCAGAAGGAAGCATCAGATTCTGATGGGAGGGGGGAGATTTCCTCTCAACCCCAAACTGAAGGATCCCTAGGAACCAACTTTGTGGCGGGGAAAATGGTGCATATGGAGTACAGCAGAGCACCTCTAAATCCTCGGAGGTTAGGACATTTAGGAAGTGAAAGTTGTTCCCTAAAGCTGGAGTTGAAAAGACGCAGTGGGGAAGCACATGGACAAGGTGGGTGGAAGGGTGGGACGTGGCAAAGTTTGAAGCCTGAAAGGTCTTTATACATGAAACATTTTTAATTTTATCTGGGGGGTGGGCAATAGAGAGCTGATGGGGACAGTGAAAAAACAGCCCAGGTGATAGTTTTTCTTTTAAAAAAGATCGCACCGGGCACAGTCTGGGTAGCAGGCTCTGGTAGACACTGCAACTGGCAAGCAGGCCCAGCGCGCAGTTCAGATGGATCCCACCGTAAAAACGAGGCACAACGGCACACACGTGCGGACCTAGCTATTCAGGTCTTGGGAGGCTAAAGCAGGAGGATCCCTACACAACCAGACCCTGTCTTTTTTTTGAGAGATTTTCGCTATAGGGTGCCTGTGCTCGCCAGACAGAGACAGAGAGACATAAGCGAGAAATCACCTCCCAGGGGGTATGGTCACGCCGCAATCCCTTCTCCTCCATTCTCCTCTCGGGATCTTGGGCACGCACGCACACGTGCCTGGCGTGAGTTCTAAGCCACGGGTCTGGGACACAAACCGCGGTGGACTACGTGGGAGTCCAGCGGCATAGCCATTATGCTAACTGCTGGTTCCCAACCAGACCCTGTCTTAAAAAAAAAAAAAAAGAAAAGAAAGAAAGAAAGAAAGCCCAGCGGCTTTGGTGTGCTGCTTTGCAAGGCTGGAAACCATGGGAAAGATGGAAGATTCTGGGTCATCCTGTGTAAGCTGGGTAACATCCTGGCCACCTAGGAAGGCTGGGAGGAGGACCTGGGTGTGAGATTCTCTCTCCCTCTCTCACAAAATAGACTTCAAAAAAACCACACAGGCCACAGCAAGAAGATGGGAAGAAGACAAAAGGTGGGGAGCCCCCTTAACTGTCAACTGTCATAACAACGTTCATTCATAATTTCCTCCCTATTTTCGCCATTCATTTGATTTATAAGATGTTCCCAAGGTCATTTTGTTTTCTTATTGTAAGAGTTTAATTAAACAATAATGTTAACTTAAGTATAATTTCATGGCAACATTTCTTATGTATCTCAGAGTAAACCCGGCTCATGAAAAATAAAGTTAAGGTTGTAAACAAAATGCATAGTCTTTGGTAATTTCTATGAAAGCATTTAATCCCCCACACACACCCCTGCACCCCTCTATAAAGGGTCATTTAACTTCCTGACCTCCAGCCTGGAGCTTCCTAAGAGATGCAAATTGGCCGCTTCTGGAAAACAACGCTCACAAAAGCCTGGGCAGCACATTCAGCCTACCTGGGAGGTTCAGGCCCACAGAGCAGGAGGCAGAGGCGATAACAAATCCTCAGTTTTACCATTTCAACAGAAGACAGGGGCTATGGACCAGAACCAAATTAAGTCACTTTCACACTTTCCCATGGATTTTCCTGCGTATTGTCACCAGTCTGTTCCGTGGCGATTGGCTATACAACTTACTTTAAAAAATAAAAATAAAGGCCTGGTAGGTCAGGGCCGTCAGGCTAGGAAAGGGGCCCCTAAGGAAGAGTGGAGAGGGTAGAAGGCAGGCTGGGAAGGACAGGTGGAGCAGAGGAAGCCATGGGCTAAGGAATGGAAAGGCCCTCCAGAGGTTCAAGTCAAGGCCAACATCTCTTCTTTTTAAAAATTTTATTTATTATTATAATTATTTTTAATTTGCTATAGGACACATGTGCTCACCAGAGAGAGAGAGGAGGAATGTGAGAAAGCAAGCTGCCAGTTATGGAACTCAAACCAGGGTCAGCCATGTGGGGGTCTAGCACCTTAAGCACCAAACCACCTCCTAGCCCCAAGGCCAGCATCTCCTAAGAGATCTGGGCAGTGCCTCAGAAAGAGGGCCAGGTTGAGCCATCTCTGGAAGGGGGCTCTGAAGAAGGAAGGAAGGAGTACAAAGGCCTCTCAACACCTACAGACCAGCAGATGCCGTAAAATTTTACTGTCCTTGAAACCCATAAATAATAGGGGCCAGCAGGTGGCATGGCGGTTAAGGAGCTGAATTCCCACAAGAGTGACCACAGTTCGAATCCTGAACACATGCATGCTCAAAATCCGGAGAGGAGAATGAAGAAGGGATTGCAGCATGGCCATCCCCCCCAGATGGTGATTTCTCACTTCCCTTCTGTCTCTGGTGAAAGCATAAACCCCATGGCAAAAATCTAAGAAAAACAAAACAACAACAAAATTCATGGGCAACCGTAATAGCAGGTATTATTTACCAAGCATAGGAATAGTGTTTGGAAAAATGAACACTTACTATATGCCAGGCTGCTTCTAATTCTTCACAGACATACATTATGTATGTGTATGTATGTATGTATGTATGTATGTATGTATGTATATGTGTATATACACACACATATACATTGTCACCCATTTAATCCTCTTAACAATCATCTTTTTAAACTTTATTTAGTTTAGCCATTTATTTATTTATTTATTTATTTATTTATTTTAATTTGACCAGAGAGGGACAGAGTAAGTGAGAGAGAGAGAATGAATAAGAGAGCAAGCAGCCAGGTCCAGAACTCAAACTGCAGTCAGCCATGGGCGAGTCCAATGCCCCTAACCACCATGCCACCTGCTGGACCCCTCATAACAATAATCCGTAAGAGATAGGTTGTATCATTATTTCCACTTTATAGATGAATATAAATAGGCTGAGGTTAAGTAAGAAGACATAACCTATGAGTAAATTCTTCTGAAACTCTATGAAGATCCTACTTGCACTTGATTTTCAGCTATTCTAATAGACCTGAATGTTGAGGTAGCATTGTTTGTTTTTACATACTGTTGGGGATTCTGGAGCTAGACAGGGCTTAAATCCCAAACTTTGCGACTTGGCAACGAAGTGACCTTAGCCAAACAATCATACAATGTGCATATTAATAGTGCCTACTGCACAGGGTGGGTATGAAGATTATATTAGCTGATATTTGGAAAGTCCTCAGAACAAAGCCTAGAACATAGTCGATCCCGGCTGGCCACTACTGAAGGTCCACAAGTGGATCACAAGTAGCAAACGAAAGTGGACAGCATTATTTACACATAGCAATGAGAATTAAAAGCTAACGACCTTGGGGGCAAAGGGCATAATGCTTAGGTCACTGGACTCACACATGCTGACCATGGTTCGAGTCCTAGACCAAGCAGCTTGAAACTCACACCAGGTGTATGTGCGTGCGTGCCTAAGATCCAGGTAGGACAATGGAAGGGACTGCATCATGGCCATCCCCCGGGGGGGGGGCTGACTTCTCACTTTCCCTGTATCTGTCTCTGTCTCTCTCACTCTGGTAAGTACACGCAACCTAAGACAAAAACCTCTCAGAAAAAAAGGTAAAAAAGCTAACGACCCTAACAGTAAAAGGGATATCATAAAATATACACACATAAACAAGCACATAAGTACAAATATGTTTAAAAGGAGAAGAATAAAATAAAAGACAGGTATGTAGGTAATAGGTGATCCTCCAGTCCCCAGATAAAAACCACATTCATAACCAGATTAGGGTAAAATTAACCTGAGACATTCACAACAATTATCAAGTGATGAATGGGGATGCCATTCACATTTTTTCCATAAAGGATCCTTAATGGCTAGCTTAGTTATTTTTTTAAAGAATTATTTTATTTAGATTTATTTATTTATTTATTTATTCAGAGTTTTTTTTTTTTTTTGTCATAGGGCACATGCACTTGCCAGAAAGACAGAGAGACAGAAAGCGAGAAATCAAACTAGGACTCATGAGGATAAGTTTTAGGAAGGCTGTCGGGACCCCTCCCAGGCTCTGTCTTGAGGTCTTGTTTGGAGAAATCTAGGTGACTGCTCTTCTCGCCCACTAGACTAGGCTCTGGGGAGATCCTGCATGTTTTGTTCTCTTCCCATCTCTAGCATCAAACCTGGAACAGGACTTCTGGGTGTCAAGAGGGCCCATTCTGTTTGAATAGCCCAAGAACTAGGAAGACAGGATCCCTGGTGAGCCAAACGCTGCGAATGAATAAACCCCCTTATAAATCAGATCATCTAGATCGCCATCACGCTGACTGCTTATTCCCCGGTATTACCTCCTAGCAGCTAGAACCTAGCTCAGCTGTCCGCTAGATTCAGGCCAATGGGCCCCCGGCCTTAAAAGGGGAAGCAGTGCCCTCTAGAGGCCAGCATGCTGGTGGCAGCAGTAATCTGAAAGCCCTAGAAAGCACATCCCGGGGAAAGCAATGACAGTATTACAGTCCAGCCGATTCTCCCTGCTGGGATCTCTTCCATTAAGGGCTAAGGTTTGAAAACTTGTGGCTTTATTTTTATTTAAAAAGTGCAGTCTTGAACACCATCATCTTATTCAAAGTGTTGTTAACCTGTTAATCAGGATTCCCTTCCACTCTGTCAAATATCCTGGGACTCTTCACTTGGGGGACAACAAACCAACTCTGATGACCCTTTGCTTCATTTTTTCTTTTTTCTTTTTCCTACAGGGCATGTGCATGAGATAGAGAGAAAATTTAGAAAGAGGAGAAAGCACCCTGCCCCATGGGGAATGGTCACACTGCAATCTCTTCTCCATCTCTCCCTCCCTTCATGATTTTTAGGCATGCAAGCATGCACACCCGCACTGTTTCTCAAGCTGCTGGATTCAGGACTTGAATCAAGGGATTGGCTGCCTTAACCACCAGGCCACAAAGTCAGCCTGGCTTCTTCTTCTTTTTTTTTTTTTTTTTAAATGAGGAGACACACGGAGCAAGAGAGACAGAGGGGTAGTCTGCTAGGGTCTTACCATGTTGTGATTCTCCTGCTCCAGACTCCCAGTTAACTGGGAATACAGGGTCTGTTAGGGTCTTACCATGTTGTGATTCTCCTGCCCCAGACTCCCAGTTAACTGGGAATACAGGAGAACACTGCCAGGCCTGGCCTGTTTAGGCTGGGCCAGAAAGTTAACCTGGGCCTCCCATGAGGCCTCAGCCACCACACAGCAGTGCCCTCCCAGCTGTGCTACCACAGCTGGGCCCCTGGCCTTCCATTTCATAAGAGAATGTAGGCTAAAGCTGGCTGTTTCACTTTCACGAGGGAAAAAAGCACTTAGTGAACATCTTGTCACATAGTCCTCCAGGAACGAGGCACTAAGCTGCGCCTGAACGTTACCAATAGCTTCCATAAGTGACACAGTGTGGGATGTGTCTGGACTACCTCTTGAGTTGGTTGACAGCTTAACAGGAGAAATCAAGAGCCGTCTCTCCACGTGTTCAGGCTAGATCCCAGTTTTGTCAGACTAGAAAAATCTGGGGAACATTGGTACTAGGTGAACTTCGACAGTCCACTGGTCAGTTTGCCCATGTCACAAATGACCTACTGTCCCAAAGCAAGCCAGCTCAGCTGGGGAAGTAAGTACCACACCGAGGTTCAGCTTTGGCAGTGGTTGGCAGCAGCCACCAATCTCGGGCTAGGGATGGATGTGGAAAAGCAGGGGGGTCCAGGCTCCGTAGACAGGCGCCTCGGAGCAAATCCCAGGCACTGAGCTTCGTGAGCTTCCACAAGCCACCCAACCTCCCTCCTTCAACAGTTTCCTCCTGCATGAAAAGGATAGATAGGGTACAGTTAATGGAGACGAGCAATGTATGTACCGTGCTCAGTACAGCAATAGGAATTTTGAGTGCTGATCGTTGTTGGGAAATAATCCCAACTATCACTACACACAGGTAAAACCGAATACAGCCACACCTCACTTAATGACACACCTGTTTCGTGATCACTGGGACTTCACACCCGTTCTTCAGCACTGAGAATCCACTTTCTCAGCCTTTGTCTCATTCCCGCAGTCGGTTGGTATTCACTACACAAAGCATTCACAAGCATGCAAGACTGCACACGTAGTTTATAAGTTTGCACTTTACTGTGCACCCACGGTAGTATTCAGAAAAAAACAGAAACAATTACGCCAGGCTTATATTAATGTGTCGTGGTGTCTTGTCACTTCCTGGCACTTATCTGACATATGCTTTTAGTACAGCTAGAAATACTTTATTCTAGTGTGGTGTCACATGGGGTCTATTGAAAAATACATATTTTATGGTGCCACGACACCACAAGACATCCTCTTTAAGTTCCTTCCCTTATTGACCAATTCACTGAACAACCTATCCGCAGGAATAGAACTCGGTTGTCAAGTGAGAAGTAAGTGCCTTTCAAAAGGTCTACACAAGAGAAATGACTAGATCTCCTGCCCTCCTACTCCTTACCCTCCAGACGGCAAGACAAGAGGACAGCAAAGCTAATCATAATGGGACATTTGGGACCAGTAGATGGCAAATGGTTACGTCACTGGACTCCCACATAGTCGACCACAGTTCGAGTCCTGGACCCAGTGGCTTAAAACTCACGCCGGGCGTGTGCACCCAAGACCATGAGAGGAGAATGAAGGAGAAGGGATTGTGGCATGGCCACCTCTCCCAGCAAGGTAATTTTTCATTTTCTGTCTC